AAGTTTTTTTTTTTGTCCCCCCCCCCCCCCCCCAAAAAAAGCATTTTTTTTTTAGCCATAGCAATGATATTCTTTATCATAGTTGTTGTGCATATTGAGCTCATTATTTCCACAAATTTGGACACAGATGCCAACTGAGTGAAAAGGAAACATTCTTTCCACCTCTTTTGCAGCCTGGTATTTAAATAGTGTCCACATGAAGCAGCTGGAATTGTTATACACATCGGATAATGATTAAAGTGAAGGAAACTAGAAGGCTGGCTACGTTGTAAAGTCAGCATGTCTACAACACTGTGGTTGCATTCAACATGTGTGAATTGATTTTTGGGTTTTGGGATCCATTTTTTCAGGCCAAGTGGATAATTATCATCCTTGGTTTGTTACAGCTCAAGCAAAAACGTAATGATGGTGGCACACTGGATTTTCCTTGGGGTATTAGGAGATCTGCTAGAAACAAAGTTAGACTAAACTAAGCTACCATTTTTTTTTATTTCCTGAAGTACCATGGAGTAATTGTGAGAAAATGCACCTAGATATAATGGAAAGAGCTCAGAAAAACCATAGTTCCCCATCTCAGTCATCCACAATTTCTTGATATAAAGCCTCATTCAGGGCCCCTGGAAAGCAATGGGAACCTTTACAATGGTTTACTAACTTTGAATAAAGGCTCTGTTTCTTGTGGCTTTTGAGGTACAGCTTTCTATTGTTGTCTTAAAGTTGCTAAGTTGCATGTTTGTACTAAAAGGATGAAGACTGGAATTTCTGTTGCATGCTATTGTTGCTAAAGTTTATTTATAACTTGCATCAATTTATTATACTACGGACTAAAATCAGTGTAAATGAATGAGGCATTGCTATTTAGTCATACGTAATCCACGCAAAAACAATTTTTAAAAGACTTTAGAGTGATAGTTGTATAAGCAGTGTGTTGTGCCCCTAAGCGAATCAGACAATTTTGTATATGCTGTGCAGATGTTGGAAGTGGGTACAATTTGAATGTACCTGAAAATGTTACAATGAATGATTAAATCACATCTACCAATAGCATGGAAATTTTTATCTGTATCAGGTCATGGTTGTGACCACTCCAGGATTGGTCTGTCTTTATTTATATATTGTGTCTAATTAGACAAATTTTGTAAAAACTTTTCTTACTCTGGCTTTAATATGTATGACTGCAAATATTAACGGTATTGCTTTTAAAAAGGTTTGAGCTTTGTGGGTTTTTTCAGCTGCGTGCAGCTCACATTACTACACGTATGATGCATCTCTTTGGATTCTAACACTGTTCAGAAACAACAGTTAATTTTTCTTTTTGTCTCAGGAGAAGCTAACCTTCCTCCATAGCTTATACCAGCGTTTGGTAGCAGGCTGTGTGCTTATAAAACAACCAGAAGGCATCCTAGATAGATTCTCTTGGTCTGAGCTTTGTGCAGTCTTGCAGGAGAATGTTGATGCCCTGATCTTAGACCTCAACAGGGCTAATGAGAAGGTAAGTGTCCTTAGGCACCAGCTACCTCTATTTAATTCAGTGACATTTGTCCACATCACAGTATCATTAAAAAGGACTGACATTCATCTTATTTCAAAAAGAATTTGGACGTTAATAATTCAATACCATTAATTATGGCTTTTTTTTCACTTAGTTTGCTGTGGGCATGAAAATTGTACTGAAGTCTGTATGAAGTCTCTAAGCTCCACTTTCTGTGCAGGACATGCTAATAGTACTAGCCAATATTAGCCACAGGGACCTAATTAAAAGAAAATAAATTAATCTTACTGATGAAGCAATTCAAAGAACTTAGTCATTTACACTAATAAAGCAAGTCTTTATTTTAGCATAAAACAGAAACAAAATGCACTTATTCCAGGAACATAATCTTTAAATTATATGTTTATGATTAAGAAGTGTTATCTGAAAAAATGCCAGTGTGTTTTTTTGATTTAATTGTAACTTTTGGGTTATGAAATTTGTGTTCAATACAATAGAAATACAATAGAAAATACTTATTTTTATAAAACATGTCAATATGTGTTTAAGGGAGAAGCTGTACTTCTGTGAATAATGTTAATGTGAATAAGCTTACGTGGCCTTTCTCCCCAGAAATCCCTGTGTTTTTAGGAAAGAAAAGACCTCTTTTTAAATAACTTAAACTGGCTCCACAGACTAACCTATGTCACTCTTCAGGATTTTGGTTCATGTTCTGGCTCCATTGATCAGGCCAGTCCTACAGTCTAGTAGAGTGATTCTACATCTTGGCTGCCCTGACATTTTGTTCTTGAGGCATAGGAAGGGAAAAGCTCTTTTGGACATCTATCATCTGCTGGAATTGTGACCACTCTTCTGGCCCAAGTAAGGGACAGGGCTGGTTACAGTGAATCATTTTGACTCTGCCCATCATTCAGTAAATAACCCATCAGTCAATGGAAATTACTAAACAGGGATAGTATAAAATAAATTCTGGATTATGCAGATAGGGTGTACATTTCTATTTTTCTTTTGAAGTAAAGGAGGAAAGGGAATGGAAGGGAATGGGGTGAAGATTAATGGCAGTGTTTGGGGGGGTTGTGTCTTATTGCTTCTTGCTTTTTAATTTAGTATGGTTATTGAAATTGATTGTGAGGTCTCTAGGGCTCTTTTCATGAACTTACCAGCTTTTCAGGGATTTGGGGCAGTGTTGTTACCTGTGTCGTACCTGCTTTCTGAGAGCAAAATTTTTCTGCAGTTTTGTATGATCTATTTGGAAGATAGCTTGCTGATATTCTCTAGTAACAGAGTGTAGGCATGTGTATTTAGAGGTCATTGTTAGCTTGATTCATTACTCTATTTAGTTTGCTTGGGAGCTGCAAAGTTAAAACAGAGTGAATCCCTTCAAGCTTGTTGAAAACACATCATAAAGTAATTAGCTACTTGTGAGGAAAACATTCTGTATGCTAAAATTCCCTGAAATTATTTTAGTACTTAATATATGGAATGTCTTGACTTTCCAATAAAACAAAAAATAAAATTGAGGGCTGTTTTTTCATTATTACTTGCAATCCTTGCAAAATGCTAAAGGACTGGTATACTCAGTTTACTAATTTAGCAGCACAAGATTTGATGCAACTCATTCAAAAAAATATGGGAAGCATCCAGTTCAGGTTTCCAACAAAGAAGGCAACAGATATCTGCAAGGTGATATAAGGATGGCAAAACTGAAACCAAGGAAAATTCATTATTCCAAAATATGTCTTAGTTTTGTTGCAAGATTCAAGAAAGTAATCTGTTGTGAAAGGCTTTACTTAGTTTTAATAAATGTTGAAGAATTACAACTTAGATTTTATGTTGGAATAGTCTGTGTTTAAATTAATATGTACAATTAAAGTAAAAAGGTGTTTTGAGAGGTAAAAGAATTTATTTTAAATGCGTGTCACACAGATATCTCACCTCGAGTATGTTTGTAAGAATAAGTCTGATACTATGAAGGAGCTTCAGCAGAGCCAGGAAGATGCTTTTAGCAAAATGGCTGAACAGATGAAAGCACAGGAAAACTGTTGGCAGAAACAAAAAAAATATATGGAACAGCAGTACTCAGGTCTCCTTGGGGAAGTTCATGCAAGGGCACAGGTATGGTACGGATATTTTTTTTTTCTTGTAAATATTTAATGGATTATTTCAGTAGTTTAAACTCCTAACCAATTTAAGGTTGTTTGGGAATCTTAGTATATTTTTAACATAAAAAAAACCCAAACAACAATGTGCTAGTATTAACTTCATTTATAATAAGAAATAAATTACTTTGTTAAAACATTCCAGAAATTAATTGCTTAATTTGGTCTAGCAGTTGCTACTGATCTTTTTTTTTTGAGAATGTTGAAGGTGTAAGATTGGAATTGCTTATTTTAAAAATTATATAGGGCAGCAGTTACTTTTCAGTGTCATGCTTTGCAAAGACTCTGTAGAGTAACAGTAATGTGGTGTCATCTGGGGATAAATTTAGGTATATACATTGTGACCCTAAGAACTGATTAGCAGTTACAGTGGTAGATTTCAACAGTACTAAAGGACTTCATTATACAGATACTACAGTGAGCAATGGTTCAGAAGTGTAAAACTGTCATCACTTTGTTGGAAAAGTTATTTGCAATCTGAAAGTCTCACTGTTATTCTACAACCACAATCCATTGTCTTTCAGATCACATTCCTTTACATGTGTTTCAGTTAAAAGTGTTGTGAAAATAGGAACTAAGATATGCCTTGTTATTTGTGACTGCCATGTGAAACTTACTTCATCAGAAGTATGCTGTATTTGACTCAGATTTGGGGCTTGGAAGTCTTCGTGCTCCGAAAAATGTATTTATGAAGTACTCTTTAGACAGAGCAATTTATGGTAATTTCTTGGGAATGAGTTAAAATCTTGTATGTGTTTTTTGCTTGATATTTACATTTCACACTGGATATTGGCAATGCTAAAAACATCCCTATGAGTGGAATAAGTGGCATCTGGACTTACATTAATTTCTCCCAACATCCTGTAGTTTCATCTTATGAAATCATTGCCAACAAAAAGAATGATGAAATGAGGAAGCTTAATTTTAATTTTAAAAATTACTTTTCCTTCCTAGAGAAGAAGTGGAGTTACGCAATTTAGATTTCTACCTCCTATGGATGCTGCACAAAAGAAAGGTCTGAGTCATCTCATGAGGTTCAACAAGGCCAAGGGCAAGGTCCTGCACCTGGGTTAGGGCAATCCCTGGTATCAGTACCAGCTGGCGGATGAAGGGATTGAGAGCAGCCCTGAGAAGGACTTGGGGGTACTGGTAGATGAAAAGCTAGACGTGAGCCGGCAATGTGCTCTCGCAGCCCAGAAAGCCACCCATATCCTGGGCTGCATCAAAAGAAGCATGGCCAGCAGGTCGAGGGAGGCGATTCTGCCCCTCTACTCAGCTCTGGTGAGAGCCCACCTGGAGTACTGCGTCCAGCTCTGGGGTCCTCAGCACAGGAAGGACATGGATGTGTTGGAGCAAGTCCAGAGGAGGGCCACAAAAACGATCAGAGGGCTGGAACACCTCTGCTATGAGGAAAGGCTGAAAGAGCTGGGGTTGTCCAGCCTGGAGAAGAGAAGGCTGCAGAGAGACCTTATTGCGGCCTTTCAATACTAAACGGGGGCCTACAAGAAAGATGGGGATAGTCTTTTTAACAAGGCCTGCTGCGACAGGACAAGGGGTAATGGTTTTAAACTAAGGGAGGGTAGATTTAGACTGAACACAAGGAAAAAAATTTTCATGATGAGGGTGGTGAAACACTGGAACAGGTTGCCCAGAGAGGTGGTAGATGCACCGCCCCTGGAAACATTCATGGTCAGGCTGGATGGGGCTCTGAACAACCTGATCTAGTTGAAGATGTCCCTGCTGACTGCAGGGGGTTTGGACTAGATTACTTTTAAAAGTCCCTTCCATCCCAAAGCATTCTATGATTCTATGATCTCTTTCAGAACTCTAGCGTATTGTGAAGAATTGGTGCTGTGCAGTACTGCACCGTTCTCAGCTGAATTGTGTAGACAGCAAGCAAAGCATGTGCTGAAAACATGGCTCTCTTTTGTGGAGATGCATTAGGCATGTCTTCTGGAAAAGACTTTATCAACTAGCAGTACAGGACTACTGGGTTTCTAAAAGGGAAATGCTTTCCCTTAAAAACATCTGGGCATGTTCTATAACACAGGTTATGTAGTCTGGGAGTACAAACTGGTTGTGTTGTAATCTAGGCAGCACAATGTCTGTATACACTGAGATGATTCAACAAAACTTTATCTTTATTTATTTTTTTTCCACCCCATGTTCCAGTTTGCCTTCCTTCCCATTCAGTGTCAGTCTGGGAAAAAGACAGTCTAATTTCTTCTGGATTTCTGATTTGTGACTGACTTTGGACCTGCAAATACCAGATTAATCCTTTCCCTTTCTGGGCTCCATAGGGTCCATGGATGTCTGCTGTTAGGGCTGTTGTAATCCTGATTGATTGTTTTTCATAAGATGTGACTGTCTTTTACGTACCACATTTTGAGCCTGTTAGCCGTATTTGTCTGCAGGATCACCGCTCTGTTGGATCAGAGTTGTGCAGGTAGACTAATGTTGTAGTTTTATTTCCATAGGAAACAAGGAAAAATGTGCCACAAGTTACAGAATGTCTTCATAGAGTCTTTTAGATACTACTGAGTGCCCGTGTTTACATAAAGATACAGGATACAGTATTTAAATTTAATTATTTTAACAGGCTTTATTCATTAAATTTTATAGGAAACATATAATCAGTGTAAGTGGAGTATAATTTGCCATTATTCTGTATTTCATTGTAGAAATGTGCATCTCATCACTCTAGGACATTTATGCTAGCACTACAAGGAAACTGTAGCAACTTGCTGTATTTCCCATCCAAAGATTTGAGTGTTAATTACAAGCATTTTAATGAACCTAATTCCTTGTAGGTGTTAGTTCCTTTCTGGAAAGGGAAGATGAGTGATTTTTGCTGTCCTGCACCAAACTAATGGTACATCATAGGATGCATCCTTTTGTTTGTAACTTTGTTGTCAACCAGTGTTCCATACCTTCTTATAGACGTTTTCTCCTCAGAACTCCTGGCTTGAGACTTCTTTAATTTTTTGAGTTGTTGGTACATGTGCGAAGGCAGACCGAAGACTGTCAGTTCAGACTCTCAAGAGTTAACTGAGAGCTCTAACTGCACAGCAATATGAGTAATGTCTCTTGGAAGTCATTGTTTTGGTTTCTTAGAACTGCAGTAGAGAGGTAGGGCTTTTCAGAATGGTCTCCTCATGATTAAAATGTAACATTGCAAAAAAAAAGGTTTTAGTAGCAATGACACCTGCCACTGCTTCTGTCCCCCGCCAGTGCTGTTCGGGGTCCCTGACTCCAAGGCAGGATCTATGGATGTTAATGGGTACTACTTCACAGCTCTTACTGTGTAGGTCAAATAGATGGTGTAATCAGAAAGCAGTTTCACTGTTCTTCTGTAGGGCAGAAATTCCCAGAGTAGCCTTATCACAGATCAGCAATAAACAAGGCACTTTATAGATACTGCTCTTCTTTGTCCGTGGTCTCCATGTTTGGAGAGTCAATGGAGCTTAGAATGCATATACTTTTTCCTTGCCTTTTGTAGCAGGAGTGCAGTCCTCTGGATTTGATAGTATGCCGTTTTGAAAACGTTACTATGCGTGTTCGTTAGCCTCACACAAATTATTTATTCAGACTGTGCAGAGTCTCATAGGAAATGTCCTCTGAATTCAAACTATCAGTTGTTGTTTGTTTATTATGTAGACGTTTATTAATCTGTCCCCATTTTTTGTGGCAACCACTTAAAATAGAAGGGTTTTGTTCTGATATGCAAAAACATGTTGCAAGACAAAAATCCTGTAACTACTTTAAAAATGTTAATTTCAACAGAAAAATAAAAGGTTTGCTAAATTCGAAAGGGAAAAAGTCCTCTAGGGAGGAGGAAAAAAAAAAAAGGTCTTTTATTGGCTTTTTTTTTTTTGCTTGGAAGCCTTCCTTTACAGCAAGGCAGGTGAATTAGCTAAAGGCTGTGGTATCTTGCAATTGTATCAAAAGTCAGTGCAATCACTGCAAAAGGAGGAGAGAAATGCATAACTATACTGTTCCTGACCCACCAGGTCTCTGTGATGGACATGTCTGGCCCATGTACTGAAAACACAGGAAAGAAGCAGAGGACAGTGGTGTTGATGTTGTTTATTTAGATGTATATCTTTAGAAAAATAAAATAGCTGAGATAAAGGAAAACCCTTTGAAGTCATAGTGTCATTATATTTATAGTTTCCAGTTCTGTTTTCATGATAGAATAAAGGGTAAGGACCCAGAAGAAGTAGGATAAAATAGTGTTGCTAGTAGCACTTGATTTTTTTGTTAAGGATTCTTGGAATCCACCAAACTCTGTAACCTGGTGAGGTGTCCCTCAAACCTCAAATGTTGAAGGAAGCCAGCTTGCCAATGTTTAGGAAGAGAATTTTATGTCCTATTCAAAACCTCTGCTTTTAAGCTTTGAAGGAAACACTAGAAACAGTGTGGAGTAAGACAAAAGCAATTACTAGCTGGTAAAAAAAAAAAAAAATGATGTATTTTCCTTACAAAACCTTTACATTTCTGTAGTCATAGATTGTCTTGTTCACTTTTGCATATTACCATATAACCATAAGCATAAAAACACTGAGCTTTTTTTAAAAATAAGCTTTAATTAGCCAGAGCACTAAATTGTTAGTATTGCTGCCCAGCAGCCCTGTAGGGATCACACTTTGTTTACTCAGATATTGGCCTTTCACCTGTGATGGCCAGAAACCATAAGTTGTTTTCTAAATTCAGCTTACCTTTTTAGTTCCTTCCAGTCATCCTGTCAGGGTTTTTTCTATAAAAATCAAACACTGTAAATAATGCAGTAGCACTGAAAGTATTGTACATGTTCATACTTAATTTTAGGGTAGTAAAGTGACATAAATTGCATTTTGTAATTAAATCTTTTAGTTACCTACTCTATTTTTGTATCACTGGAAGTATTTTAATAACACTACAAATTCATCCTCTTCCAAAAAAATAATAAAATATTTATCTGGTCAAAGACACTGTGAACTGACTAGGGTACATTTCTATAGAAGTGTGGAATCTTTTCTTTCCATTCTAGGGGTAGCTATGTTTTGTTGGTTTTTTTTTTTTTTTTTCCCCCTGTTGCACTTGCAGGGTGGAGGAGGGAGGAGAAACTAGGGTGCCCCCCTCACCGCTTGCTTGGGACCTGTACCAAATAGAACACATGGGAATGTGGCTGGATGACACCATTTTACTTCTCTTTTGGCCACTGCTAACAGGAATAACCTCACCCCATTTTTAACAAAATTGCTTATAGCTCTAAGAGAGATAGCTGAAGCTTAGCATAATTCTCTCTTTTCTTCATCATATGGACTTGTCATTCCATTCATGTTTCCCTTTTTGTGTCCATATACTGTAACTGGAGCGTAAGCATTTAACTTGAGCTTGTGGGTTCTTTGTGAACAGTGCCTAAAATTTATTATCTCCTTATACTACTGGATCCTGTTTAAATGTAGTGTCAAGTGGTTGTTCCAGTCACAGAGGACTCTCATGCATCAACAAGCCTATCTTTTAAGTCTCTGAGGTCCTAGCGTCGT